ATCGGAGATTTTTTGGATATCGATGATTGAGTCGCTCGTCGTTGGATGCGACCCAGAGGGAGAAGCTGGTACTGAGGTAACCCTGCATAGAGATGAGAACAGTAGTATATAACCATATGCGTCGGGACTTGCGCCTAATAGAGCGGAAGGCGGTGAGCCGGAGTGAAATACTGCCTCGATCAGTTTAGCACACCGAGCTTAAAAGGTAAAATTATATTTTCATTTAACAAGAAATACCTACACAAAAAGCAAAAGTGGTAACTGCGCTTGACTGATTTCACTTATTTATTTGGTAATGGTAAAAGCCTACAAAGTACGGATAAATGTATTTCTATCAGAAACAAAAGGATGTACTTTGTATCCATCAAACAGTCGGTTTTCTTTTAGAGTTACTTGTAGAAATATTACTATAGACCTTCTTCAAAGATTGTTTTTATCTATTTGTTTACTGTTCTATATTGCCGAGTTCTATGTTCTATATTAGAATACGCAGTGTTACCATCCCTATTCATCCTGTAGGTGTCGTAAGAGCCGACTAAGGCAACCAACTACGCAGGAAAACAAAGAGAAGGAACTGCACTGCAGAGAGAAGGAAGATTTGATACAAACCCTGTACCAACTCGTCTGGCCAGGTTGGTATAGTAATCCAAAACCTCCTTCCTAAGGAGAAGCCTATTTCCAGCATGGACTATCAAAGGCTGTTGATGTAGAAATATTTTTGTTGATTTTTCTTTAATAGTAAATGGTCTAATTATAATTTGAACAAGGACAATGTTTTATCGTAATAATACGTAATTCAAAAATTGCGAACAGATTTTGTGACTCAAACTAAGTAATATTCTTGAAATCTGGCCACCGGAAATTCTGCTCATAATAAAACAAATGTTTTTTTAAAATAAAATTCCTAGAAAAAATGTTTGCAACCTACTTGACTATTCTCAGAAACGAATTGAACAAAAAGAAAACAACCGGACCAAAGTTGAAGGTAAAACAATACCATACCTAGATGCATATGGCATCATTATGAAATTGAAATGTCTGTTTGCGATATTAAAATAATTGCTACCTTCGTTACTTTATTATTTACAAGTAACCAACAACCAAACATGCGATGTCAAATTGTTTGTAGCCTTTCTTTTTGTTATTTTTATTTAACCTCAAAAATCTTCATCAAATGGGTGTCGTAAGAACCGACTAAAGGAGTAAACTACGCTGGACAAAATCACACAAAGCAAAGAGAAGGAAAACTTGAAACAAACCCTTTTTTTTTTTTTTAACGTGTGGTAATCCCCTCGGACCGTCACCCCACCGGGGCGCGGCGGGGTGGTGTGTCGGACTCGGACCGACTAAAACCACACGGTGTGCGACTCTGCGCCTGTAATAGGAGGGATCCGGGAACAGCTGTTATTAAGACATCCGGACCCCTCCTAGCGCCGGCCCGCTCCTGTTGCGGGCCCCGTCTAAAAATTTTCCTCTCTTTAGGCGACGTCCGGCACACGCGGACGCCGCCCCCTCGCGGCTGGCCAAACTAATGAGGGTGGAGGGGAAACCCACCCCTTCCACCCGCGGCCACACTCAGGGCGGCATGAGGAGGTGATAGGCGCGCCTCCGCCGCCCGGTTCGCCGGCGGCGGATCGGGTCCGAGTGGAGGTCGTCCTCCCGGGCCTTCTCCGTCGAAACGATGCGGTAACCGCGTATGGCTCTGACCGCCATTACCCTCTGAGGGCGCCAGAGGCGTGCCCTATTCTGGGCGGTCAGAGCCGCCGCCCACACCGGTGCACCGTAAAGTGCCATTGACCGGACAACCCCCGTGTACAGCCGTCTTGTCGCGACGCTGGGTCCACCCAAATTGGGCAAAAGTCGCCCTAGGGCAGACGCAGCGCCGACCAGCTTTGGAGCAAGCTGTCGGAAGTGCTCGTCGAAGAGCCACCTCTCGTCGAGGATCAGGCCCAGATATTTCATCTGGGCCCGAACCGGTACGAGGACCGAGTTGACCACGATTGAGGCGCCAGGGGGTGGCCCACGACGGGGCCCATGAAATAACAGGGCCTCCGTCTTATCTAGGGCCACCCGTAAGCCCAGCGCCTCAATGCGCCCGACCACCAGGGAGACTCCCCTTGTGGCCAGGCGCGCCGCCTCTTGGAAGTTCGCCCCCCGGGCTGTCACCAGAGTGTCATCTGCGTAACAAATTACACCCAGCCCGGGGGGGAAATTTGCTCGAAGGGCCCAGTCGTACCCTATGTTCCACAAGAGGGGTCCAAGAACAGACCCCTGTGGAACACTGCACGACATGGGCCGACACCTCAAATTACCCTCTCGAAACTTGAAACAAACCCTATACCAACCCATCTGGCCAGCTTGGTATAGTAGGCCAAAACCTCCTTTCAAATAACAGTCCGGCAGTGGACTAGTAAAGGCTGTTGATGAACCTCAAAAATATGTAAACAGTTCTAAAATTTGAACAAAATTTGTGGCATTAAATCTCGCAGTTGTCATACCATTCACTTCTGGTGTTTGGTTTGAATTAAAACATGTTTACGCAGAAAAAAAATAGTTTAAGTAGTAGGACTTCTTGTACTTTTAGTTTTGTTCCACCTGTATTTTATGGTTTCTTCGCTCGATAATGAATGTGTATTGTCCTTCAAAAGGCTCAGTAAATATTTACTTTCCTACATAAAAGCTCCTTACTTTAAAGTAGGTAAGTTTGGTAATTAAAGTAAGATTTTAAATAAGTAAGGTAAATTAAGTAAACATTTATTCCCCATCGAGGAGTTCTGTTATCAACCTCCTATTCCATTATTAGATCAGTTTTAAGATGCTAAATGATAGTATATATCTAACGTTTATACCAATTACAAACACACTTTTTTTTTACTAGATACTCTGACTAGAAGTAAAAAATGCAATATATACTCCAAGTTTTTGAAAACAGTTACAAATGAAGATAAAATAGTGAGTTATTAATTCGCATTGTAACAATGGAATGGATGTGGAACTAATTGTCGCCTGCGGTGTTTCCGGACCTATACGACTTCAAACCTTAAAAATATAACCATTCCAATAAATAACCAACCGCCTCAAAGGCATGGCACTTCACTTACCAGTAATTTTACCGAAGCCCCTTACCTAGTAATTGTGATGAGATCTTCTAGTAATTGTGATGAGACTCAAAGGGCGACAACGCCCTATCAGATGACCTGCCTGTTCCTTTTATTTTTAAAAGACAACTCCCGCTTTAGGATACATACTCCTGTGTCACGGAGGACCTACAAACATACATGAAATGGGTACAAACAACACCCAGACTCAGAACAATAATTTGTGGATAACACAAAGTGTTGTCCCATGTGGGGATCGAACCGACAACACTCAGCCCAGCAGTAAGCGGTGTTGCGACCGCTTAAACCACTACGCCATCCGTGCAGTCAAGTTAAGTCAGAGTCCTTTGCTTCTTTTATAAAAAAAAAACATTATAAATTATTATGAAAATGGATTAAACCAGTTCATTTTAATATTTCATTACAAAAAAATAATAATTTAAGCTTGTACTTTTGTTACATTAAAACTTTCTTGATTAAAAACTGAAAAACTTCTGTAATTTTTGTTATCAATTAATGAAGATTCCCTTTAAGATATTCCTACTAAGATTACAAACAAATTTTCTGAATTAAAAATTTAAAGCCAGTCTAAAGTATTTTTTAAATTTGATCCCCTTCTAATCGAGTTTAAGTTGTTATAGATCAAAAATATAATAATGAATTTTCGTGTTCTCGCGGCTCTACAAAGAAATTTATTGATTTAACTAGCTAGGTAGGTATCAAGCGAATATCTGGAATAGAATAAAATGTATCTGTAATTTCTTATTGTTGTAGGGATAGAAATCCTTATTAGCGGCTTCGTATTTCGATTTAAGGATGAAACCTAGTCTTGTATTTGTTTGATTTACGACGAATGACATAGTTTATTAGAAGAAACGTTTCCTCTATGGCCTTAAAATGAAATTAGTCGTTAATGTATGATATTTCGATACCTACCTACTTGACAAATGCTTGGTCATACAAGCATGTAAAATTAAACTCTGTTAAATTAAATTGCATTGCCTCTTGAGTTTATTTTCGTCAATTGTATGGAAGAAAGAGGAATAGTGTTATTACAAAAAAACACTTTGTTTTTATTTTTCCAAATAAAGTCGGGGTCAGACAGACGAAAGAACTGGTTAAGACGAAAGACGAAAGACTTAAAAGAACTGGTTTCTTCTTCTTTTCAACCCGTTTTTACTCCATATAATATTAAAAACAGGGGTAACAAAAAAAAGATATGAATTTTATGTATTTGAAATCTGTTTTAAATACAAAATATTATAACAAATTACTATTTTATATATTACAATTTTATATCGAGGGAGAGCGATATTTTGGCACATATATGGCTCGAACGGAGTTATACCATGAGTGGTAACGCAGTATTTTTTGTGTTAGAGGGGGCAGACGAGCAAGAGAAAGTGACCATCGCCGCCCATGAACGTCTGCAAATCAGGAGTCAAAAACGCGTTGAGTAAGTGACAGTTAGTATGATTGCATTGAGCTAAATACCAAAGCCTACATTCCATTCCATTCCATTCCTTGTTATTTAAAATCAGACGGAAGTCGGAACGGGGGATCAATAGCCTGACAGTATGCAAAACTAAGGACTAGAAGTATGGAAGAAATCATCGATATGGAATTATTAAAGCAGAAAAGGAAACGCCTTTTCTGTTGGAATAAAACTTAATAACAGGAACAAAACAAAACTCATAACAGGAAAAGAAAAATCATTAAAATTTAAACATTAGTATAATATTATATTTTTACATTTAACATCAATAAATATATATTCTACACTAATGAATCTATCAATATACAGAATAAAACACATGTCTATTTGGATATAGCACTTGGGCCAGGTATGAAAATATACCAGTAATTACTTGGTACAGTGAGTAAAATAATTGTACAAACACGTCAAGCTGAAACGACAGTAGTGGGACTTTGAAAGTGAAATCTATTGTACGGTAAATCTAAGGAGTAATCTGCTTGTACGTCTGCAGGTCTTGTTGTAAAGTCTACTACTTGTGTAGGTGCATCAATAGCAGTAAATATTGGGTCAGGAACCTTGGATGGTGCAGTATAAACGGGATAAAGTCTTGATTTTATATCTTCTTCTTTTAATGCTTTTGTTAGTTCTGGTGTCCAAGTAACTATGTCAAGAGCTTTAGTAGTACGTTCCTTGTTATTTTGCGATAGTTGCATTCTATCTGTATTAATGATTTCGTTGTCTCTCCAAGGGTTGTGTATTGACATCGATGGTGGTGGTGTTGATGGCATGATCCCTGAAAGTGGCCAATCTCGATCGTCCCGACTTCTTTTCTCATAAGGGTAGTCATAAGGATGATGGTAGAAACCGTAGTTCACCGGACTTGTAGAAATCTGGAACAGAACATCTGTTAAGGGGTTACCCCGGTTGGTTTTAGTAGCAGTGCGTTATAGCCTACACATGTGTTTGTTAAAAAGTTACGTAGATTTAAAATGTTTTATTTTTGTTACTGTTAGACATTAATACATGTTGATTGTATCAACGATATTTATGTACTATTTCTGTTATATGCCAAACAAGACGCGTAATATAACCAAAGGTGCCTCGCTCGGATAATAAAGGTAGACTCTCAGATACTACTATAAATAAAAATGATTTAATGGTGGTAGCTTTGACCCTTACCTTTGTGATTATATTATGTAAAAATTTGTACATTTTATTACATATTTTCGGTTTTACATCTACACGCGCAATCAGTTGATGGAAACTTGACAGTCTCAATATTTTTATCAAAATATATTGAGCGATTCAAATCTTTAGTGATGCTTGTATTTGATTAAATTGAATTCTCGACCTTAAAGACCGACAAACGGCGAACGTTTTTAACGTCAATATAAGCACATTACTAAATCATTGAGTATTATAGGGAACTCGGGATACGAGATTCACCGCTTTTGTTAAACAGTCTCTTTAATTTTGAGAGTATCTTCTATAAAAGTACATATATATCGTTGATATTGGTAGAGGAAATGAGTTAGATCTATTTAAGGATATCATACCTTCCCTCTGTCATGAAATCTATCATCTACGTCTACCTGAAAATGTTATTTTTACTTTTTTGTTAGTTGGTATTAGTAATATTATGTTGAATTGTTAGTTTCTTGTTAAAAAGTACTATGATAAAAATAGAACAGAATAAATTTATAAATTACAAGCTGTACCCTGCCAAGATTCGCAATGGCATATTTTGGAAAAAAAACAGCAAAATCGCTTCTTTGAAGCGGGTTTTTAACCGACTTCAAAAAAAGAAGGAGGTTCTCAATTCGACTGTATTTTTTTATGTAGGGGAAAGTAACCAATATTGAACCGGCCCTTACAATGGACCACTTCTGTATTTCTACCAAAATGGCACTATTTGGTATAGTATATTGGCACAAAAAGGAGCGATACAAAATGACAGAGTAGCTTAGCTAGCTAGCGCTCCTTTTTGTGTTGATAGTGTAAAAAAAAGTGTCAATATGATAGAAATATGGAAGTGGTCTAATTTAAGCACCGGCTCAATATTGGTTACTCTCCCCTATATTGTGTCAAAATTTGAGCTCAATTGCTACAGATTTTTTGGAGTTTTTGAAGCGTAACTTAAAATTTATATATAACGATATTTACAGTTATTTTATTGGCAGTAGTCTTATGTAGAATGAAGTATAGTTTAGAACATTCGAGTGATTCAATAAGCTTGAGGTAAAAACTTCTAAAGTTATGAATTTTCAAGAACAAAGTTGGACATATGAAGATGTATCTCTTTAAGTGAATCGCCTTATTTTGGATATGGTACATCCGTCAATTAAACTGACGTTTGGATAATCGAACATAAAAAGCTCTCTTTATTTCAATTAGTACTTGAATAGATCACAACATGAACTTAAAAGATCAGGCTGAAAAATTGTTTCTATATTTCTCGAATTTTTGACCATTTGCAACAACAAAACAACAGCAAATCCTTACAAAATACATGAAAAAGGATTTTTCTTTTTCTACAATATTTCAAGATTAACTGTGGAACCATAAATGTTCAAATTATTTAAATATTGTGCAAAATATTAATCAAAATGGTGGGCAAATGGAATATTCAGTGAGCATTAAAGTTCAAATCCTGAATTCATTTTATTACGATTCGTTTTCTGGCTATAATTGAATAACAAGGTGAGAGATGTCACCAGGATTGAAGAGGTATGGAACGTAGCTATGTTGATAGCTATCAAGAAAGGTGGAATACAAGAATGAGGGATTTTTTTGTTGACGGGGTGGAAAATCCAAGAATGAGGGCTGACTTTTGTTAGTTGCTGAACCGAGATAATAAATACTCGTAAATGTTTTAAGCTTAAACCAAACCAAATCCAAATTGATTAAATTAATTGCATTTTTTTTTACTATAACTTTTATTTAGGTAGAGTTGTCTGTTTTTGTATTTTTTTATAGGTATCCAGTTTTTCCAGAACAACTGAGGGTAAGTTTAAAAGTAAACCTGCATTCATATTAGCTCATAAATAATGTCAAATTGAAATAGAAAACAAATATATTTGGAAACCTGTGATTTACAACTTGTACTTGTAGGTTTTACACTCAAATTAATTACTAACGATATTGCAAACGACAGTAAAACATTTTGTTCTTTCAAGTTTAGAAATGAAAGAACTGAAAAGGATTACCGGTTTCCGCTCTGGTAGGCTTATTGGGCTTAATTTAGTATCCGACCGGATATCGGATCATAAGTAGATATACAGCCGGATATTGGATATGAAATTTAGATTCTTTCTTTACGTAAATATTTTTCTTATGCATTCATTTACAAGAATATTAATATTACTTAGTATTAGATCATTTGTTCTAGGTCCGAGTGTAATTTATCTATAATATGTATGTATTTAGAAATATATAAGTATGTATGTCAGCAGTCTGGTTACCATATCACAGACTCTGCCTAGTTTGGGATCAGACGACCGTGTGTGGGATGTGTGAAGTTATTAACATTACTTGCAAATGGTAAAAATAAGGTAAAATAAGAAAGTTGACTAAATAAACAAACAGTTTATAATCTTGACTATTTCTAATACAATTCATTACTATTAATATGTGTCTGCGTTTTCTACACCAATTGCCAAATGCAATTTGTCATTGGCACTTTTATTAGCAGTACTATCATTTAATTTTCTATTCTAAATATTCTTTGATAATTAATTATGCTTACCTTTTTTAATCCTTGTATAGAAGCAAGAATAAGGGCCATTTTGGCTAACAAAAGGGCTTTTCCTCCAAGTACTGCAAGGAACTGAAATCCCATAGGCACTATTACCATGCCAATGGAGACAACTCCAAACATCATCATTGTCATCATATGATGACGACGGCGGCCCCTGAATTCAACTATTAACAAAAAGAATTGGATCTTCAAAATACATGAAATAAATTAAACTATATTTTGAAACTTTTGTCAAGCATTTTATACTGCACGATTTATTGACAGAGTGGTTTTCGTCTTAATTGTACTTAAGTTTTCAAATAATATCATGATGTACTATCAAGTAACAAACTACACGTTAAATTAGAGAGATTATGGCATGGCTTCTGGTCACGAGAAGTGTACATGAGATCAAATAAATTAGCGGCTGGTACTATTAATGGATAACATGGCGCTTTAATACCTTTTATATAAACACATGACTTTATGTGGCTACAGAGCGCCACATTAAGGTCCCTATGACGTCACTTAACTTAATACAAGTGGACAATCAAGACACTTATGATAATCTTTACGGTTACGATAATACGTGAACTTAAAATAAAAAACTACTTAAACACTTTTTTTGAAGTTATGCTGAAAGGGATAAATATTTACATCAATCCTTTTAGCTTCGCTGTAGTGGTGTCTAAAACACATTTTGACATTGATATTTGACATAGGATTACATCACAGACTAGTCTTTATAATGCACAAGATATTTTTGCTAAATATGTAACTACAAAAACACAGCATTAGCTAAAAACCACCTAAAATCAACCACGACTATGACATATGAAACGAAACGGTAAACTATTCTAATTCTCGTTTGTGCACAAAGAAGTTTTTTTTAAAGACATCGCATTAGGAATACATCCTGTGTGGCGGGGGACTTTACAAACATACATGAAACGGACACAGAGGACACCCAGACTCAGAACAACAAGTTATGGATCACACAAAGTGTCGTCCCACAACACTCAGCGTAGTAGTGAGCGGCGTGGCGACCGCTTAAACCACTATAGCTCCCGTGCTGTCACTTAATGTGGATGTTAACCGGATCCCTATTATTTAATATACCTATCCCTTTCGTTAATGAAGTTCTCATGTTTGAAATTGCTAACATATTTAACGTTAGTACATTAAGTGCTTCGATTAATCAAGCGGATAATATCCGCTTGATTAATCGAGATAAATTAACGATTAAATATTGATATTTTAGTATAAAATTCTCCATTCATATTTTAGTATAAAATTTCAAAAGTACTGGCAAATAGGATTAAATTATCACTTAATTATTTAATGTATGTATTTGAACCTTTGAGTCAGCTAAGCTGGAGTTCGCATAACTTAATTGCTTATTCACGACTGAAAACGGATTTAAATTACAAGCAGTATTTAAAAAAAAACCACAAACTTTGTAATAGGAACTGTAATTTTTCTTTTTTTTTCGCAAAAAGGTTTGTAATAGTTTTTGATGTGTAACCATTTTGTCTGTGGTAAGTGTTTTGTAAAAAGAGACTTAAGTATGTAAAAGGGAAGCAGGGAAGCGTATGTCATTTGATTTGACTGAGGAACGCACGGAGATAGACGTCAAATGTTCCACATCCTAAGAGATTACACTTACTGGAGAAACAGTAACACTATCAGAGATGTCATTACAGTTTTGTATTTACTTTTTATTATTCCTAAACATAAACAAAAATACAAACCTTTTTCTATGCTTCTTCCATCGTCAATGTCAAACTTTATCACGTGAGTTTTGAGAACGTTTGCCATCCTTTTTAATGCTAGCGTACGCCAATCACTCTCTTCTAGCTCCTTATCTGTCCATGAACTGAGGGTAGAAACATTAAAAGAGTATGTCTTTTTTTAGAAAAAAAATATCAGAATTTTTTTACCTAATTATTGAGCTGATTGTAGTTTCTAATTACTAGAAAATATGTACCAATATACGTTAATTACAATAAAAATAGTCATTTACGAGTCTTTTGAAGATATTTTTAATTTATTAAATGTTTTATTTTTCAAAGGTTGCTTGACTTACTTTACCAGATATGGCACGGAAAGAAATGATGGTCATTTTTTTTAAAGAATTTATAGTCCTCTACGTTTTGTAGCTACTTGTTATCTGCCTAACAGGTTAGAGAAGCTTAACCTAATGGGTTTTAAGAAGAGTACGTTCTTTACTTTGCTCATAATAATGTTACTTTTCTTTCTCATTTTTATTTGTTTTTGTAAACCAAATAAACTGCACCTTTCAGATAATAAAGATTTTTTTAAAAATGTGTTAATCATAAAGATCAACAAACTCAAATTATACCCATCATCACATCATCAACAGCCTTTAAGAGTCCACTGCTGGACATAATCCTCTCCTTAGACAGGAGGTTTTGCCCCACTATACCACACTGGCTAGACGGGTTGGTATAGGGTTTGTGTCAAGTTTTCCTTCTATCTGCAGTGATGTTGTTCTGCATAGTTTTTTCCCCTTGTCGGCTCTTACTACACCCACGGGATAAATAGGGGTGGTGACCACCATATTACCACACGGAAATTATACACATAACATGTATAAAATAATTAACTATAATATATAACTTGAAACTAAGTCATATCTTTAAATATAATTAATATTATTCACGATACTGTGACTCGATACTTTCATAAAGATTATTCTTAAAATGTGTTAATCAATATTTCGGTCAACACACTTATAATGAAATGCGCAAATTGCTTCTTTTAATACAAAATTGTTTGCCTATTTCTATAAGAGCCACTGTGATCTGTATTATTTCGCCACTACACTGAAATTGGATTATATTGCGCAATTTTATACGACACCCACATAAAATGCGACGTTGACAAATTGTGTCGCGGTGGTTACCCTGAACTTTGCGATTTTTGCTTTGATTGACGTTCTACATTATCATTCAATGATCACAAATGCGATAATAATTTATTATACAGACACAAAACAAATGACCGCGCATGAGCGCGGTCATTTGTTTTGTGTCACACAATATTTGTTCTGGGTGGGTATCGAACCCACGACCTCCGACTCAGCAGTCAGGGTCACTAACCACTAGACCAACAGGCCCGTCAATGACGCAAGCAAAGTCGTGTAAAGTAGCTAGTATGTAATAAGTGTCAATTCAAATGCTAGGCTGCCTCAGTGGAGCACTGGTAGCGTATGCGACTGCTCGAGAGTGCGGAGTTCTCGAGTCCGATTCCCGGGTCGGACCAAATGTTAGTGTGATCTGCAAATATTTTTGTCGGAGTCTAAGTTTTAAGTCGGAGTTTTAAGTGAGTGACGGATATGTATAGTATGTATGTATTTACAAAAAAAAAAAGTATAAATATCCCTATCAGTCAATCTAGTTTTTATAGTACAAGTTCTGCTTAGTTTGAAACTAGATGACGTTGTGTGTCAGATGTCGAAAATATTATAAATGACCTTACTGTGAACAAACATATAACTAACACTAAAAAAGTACCATTATACAATGATGTACCTGGTTTCATTTTCCGCCAAGATGTTACCCGATCTGTCGACGAGTTCGAAACGAACTAAGTTGATACCATCAGCTACCGGCACCACATCAGGGGTCAACGAACGATCAAGCGCTCTCAAAGTTTTTCGTTTCATACATCTGACGAACTTCGGGAAATATTCCTTGTGATCTATTACATCTTTCACGTCTACCAACTGAAAGCATTTCACAAAATATAATTAAATAATAAATAATAATAATAATAAATATAATAGAACATTAATTGTATTAATTTTAAATTTTGTTTCTAATCCACGCTTAATATTTTACGGAGAAATATAGCAGTCTATTATTTCTCACCTATATAAGATTTTAAAAAGTTTTAATAAATTTATGAATTTGCCCTCCTGAATGGTGTATTTGCCTCATGCGCTGAAGGTGTGCGGTGTTCTCGGGGACTTATATACCCAAGTAATTTACAATAGACCCGTGGGACGGAACACCGTAGTCTTTCAGCCGTTTTGATTCAGACATTACAATTCACCGTAAGCCCCTTTAAGGTGGGGATTTCTGGCAAAATTGCCTTGGTCTAATTATACAAAGAACTATCTTCAAGTATTAGAATAAAAAACTCACCAAAAGAAAACAAGTAGTTTTTTGGTGGCTAAGATACATTTCAAAATCATGACATGTTATTGGTAATTTACACATGTTTTATAGTCATCATTTTCATCGTCATCATCAACAGCCTATAATAGTCCACTGCTGGACATAGGTCTCTCCTTAGAAAGGAGGTTTTGGCCTACTATACCACGCTCGACAGACGAGGTCATCATTTTACATCCATACTAATTTTAAAAAGCTGAAGTGTTTGTTTGTTTCATCGCTAATATTAGAAACTACACGTTTGAATTTAAAAGATTTCGATAGGCCATTTATCGAGGAATACTTTAGGTTACATAACATTATGCTACGAAAAATATCAGCGGAGTTTCATTTTTTTTTCTCATTCACACAACTCTATCTAGTCCCAAACTAAGCAGAGCTTGTACTATATATACTACACAACTGATATAAATCCAGACCAGACCAAATCAAGCATTAAATGTCCATGCACACAACTGTTTGATTTGAGCGGGAATAGATACCGTGACCTTTGGAATAGCAGTCCGTTACACAAACCACTACGCCATCCGGTCGTCCCATATTCATTTTGACATTTAAACTTAAACTCGAGCTTTTTTATATTATTATTATATTATGCAATAATATTTTCTCTTAAAAGATTCTAAAAGAAGTCCGTGCTATATAATATGCTATGCTATGCTATACTCAATAAAGAATATTAAGGTTTGAGAACATTTATCTTTTAAGACCTTTCCGTCTTGTGTGACGTTGCGCGATGCAGCTAATATAAAATAATCGCCATTTACTCTTATACTTTATCCATGACCAGAAAATATCAAGATGTTTCATTCCTATTTACAAAATAAAATAAAAGACAACCACAATACACTCACTTTGTATTAAGTCAAAACAAAGAAGAGTGACTTTGAATAAAATTGAAAGTGTTCCAGTAAAGTAGGAAATTATTATCAAGGAAATGTTGCACGACAAGACAATAAATTGATATCAAACAAAGTCTAAACAAAATGTTTATTTGTGTATTCCAAAGCACTCAAAAGCCATGAATCGGCTTACTGAAAGAACTGAAGGACAACAAGAAATCTGTAAACTTATTTAACTTACGAAACAAAAGAGTTTTTGCGAATGTACAATATACGTATATAATAATAATAATATTCATACACATCTCACACATGGCCGTCTGATCCCAAACTAGGCAGGACCTGTACAATGGTAACCAGACTACTGATAAACATACTTATATATTTTTAAATACATACATATTTTAGATAAAGTACACCCAAATACAGAACAAATGATCGTGCTCATCACACAATTATTTATTCTGGGTGGGAATCGAACCCACGACCTCTGGCGTAGCAGTCAGGGTCACTTACCACTAGACCAACAGGCCAGTCAGTTTATTATTTTGTATATCATACATAATCATGTTATATCAATAAGGACTTTAAATAAAAAATATTTATTTTCCCTTCTTTCGTATATTCTTCTGACATCTAGCACGTTTTTTTAATGCACTGAAGTGCATTAAACTGTAATATCGTTAAAATGTCACCACCGTTAAAGCGCCTACTTCATGATTCAATGTTAAAAACTGTATTCTGTATAACTTATTCGAAAAAATACCCCTATTAAGTAGTATTGTTTGTACTTCAACTACAAAGTCGGTTCACAAATTGCAAAGATATTGCGTAATAAACACATAAAAAGCCTATCGAAATTATAACCTTTCCATTTTGCAATCGGTTAAAAAATAAACTACTAAAAACAATATTCTCGTGCATCAAGCAATGCATCTGAACTAAATAATTTTTGGACGATAAGAAATTGTGGCATATTAATAATGCATGATAAATTCACTCTACTAACATTTTGTTCACCAGATAATGGTAGTATGTGGCTAGCATCTAAAACGTACCTACTAACAACTCTGTACACCCATATTCTGACAAATAAATATATTATTATTATAAAGGCTTTGGTTTTAGTAAACCTTTTTTGTTTTTCTCGTCCCATGTAGAGGTGGATCCACCAAACATTATGGTAAAGATGCAGGTTGAATGATAACATCAATAACATCTAATGCAACATTTGAATAAAGGCTACTTGTTTTGATAAAGTTAAGTCAACTGTGTAGATAAAATCAAAGTTTGTACAAAACTTCGAACAGAAAACTTGAAGAAATTTCCAAAGTAATAATTTCTATATATTTTCCAATGGCAGGTATAGAGATAATTACACAAAGTTTGAATATTATTACTGTTTACATCAAACAAGCGTCTGTTGGTAAAGCCGATTATGGGGACTTAGCCGGCTACTCAAGGCTTATGCGAAGCATTGCCTCTACCATAAGCACTTTGTTAAATGTCTATAAATAGTCTGAATAGGCAAGCAATACCTAAGATTCTTTACTTGAGCTTGTACACAACAACAATATCTTATTCTCGGTGAAAAATATTGAAAACTGTTCTGCATTTAGTTTGAGGTAGGACGAATAATAAACGAAATCTGTTAAAGAAACAATCTAGAAGAAGAAATATAAACATATTTCTGTATAAAAGATACAGCACGTTTGAACCAACAATTAATAAAAAAAACCTCCAGCGTTAAAATTCTATTCAAACAATAAGTTTAGTTGAGAACATATAAATTCATTAAATCCTGTACTTACTTTTTTAGAACAATCTCTCCAAATAATTCGGAATATGTCAGCACCTTCCAACCATAAGTCAGCGATAAATCGACTCATATTTGTGTCAGCATCTGTCTCATTAAATTCACTTTGACAGCCCGATATTAATAAGGTAGCTAAGATATATGTGACAAGATTTATACGTGAAGGATTCATCGTCACGTATTTTATATCTGCAGGATTGTCATTTCTCGATATACTTTTAATAAGCTACAAAGCTGAAACAAGGGATACACATATCATAACCTGAATGTTAATACAATTTTAATGTTTTAGTAGCTATTTGTTATACTTTGTATTGTTTTGTTTTAAAAAATACGACGTCCGCATTAGGAATATATATCGCGACCAATATGTTTAGCGAGGGACTTTAAAAACATACATAACGGACACAAAGAACACCCAGACTCAGAACAAAAATTTCTATATCACACAAACTGGTGTTCCATGTGGGGATCGAACTCACGACGCTCAGCGCAGTAGGAAGCGGCGTGGAGACCGCTTAAACCACTATGCCACCCGTGCAGTCGAAAGTAGTTGTTTGAATAATCGATTCCATTAGGTTCAGTTTACTGGAATTCGTCCGAGACAGTTCAACAGACAAAAGACAGAAGGGCTGCTCGTCAGTTAAGATACAGTAAATACATATATACTCGTAGATACATCGATACCTTAATTTAAGAATGATCAGACAGGGGCGCATGAAACGCCCTCACTTTTTTGTCTATACTTTTAGCTCTATTTACGTTAAGCGCAAAAGCCTATATTGCCGTCGATTAGATGGGAAAATTAGATGTACGTATACTGAGAGAAAAGATCAGAAGGCACACGGAAAGTAAGATTAGAAAAGGGAAATTGTTTATTGAATTGGGGGTTAGTTGCCGAAAGGTCCGAACTCTCTAACTGATTCAATAATATTTTCAAGTAAACACAACGGTTGTTTTCTTTTCTGAAATTAAACAAATTAAGTCTAAGTTTATCTTGTCTAATGCTTTTTATTTACTTCTTAAATCATATACGTTTCGACCGATGGCCGTGATCACAAGCACACTGGCATTCTGTCTGTCTGTCTGCCAAGCAATATAATGGTATGTACTTAATCCCTACCGCGAGCGCCTAATTTTTTTTTAAAACAATTAATTCTAATGGAAACAGTTTAAAAGTTATTAAATCCTTCCATAGATTAAAATAGACTTCAATTTTAGATATAAACTCTAGTTTAAGAGCAGTCTTTAGTACAAAAAAATAATTTATAAAGAAATCTATAAGCAATTTTTTTATGGAAGAGAGGGCAAACGAGCAAGCGGGTCACCTGATGAACTGATGGAAAGCGACTATCGCAGCCCATGATCGTCTGCAACTCAGAAGTCACAAGCGCATTGCCGGCTTTTAGGAAGGAGTCAGCTCTTTTCTTAAAGGAATTTAATTTTTAAATTTAATTTTCAAGAAAGAGCCATAATAATGAACGCTATGTAATGCACTCGTATGGAAAATTTAAAGTACAGAAAAGCAGAAAGTACGAACTGTTTTAAATAAAACTATAGTTGTTGCAGATGAATTCTAATAAAAACCATATTATTTATTACTTGGTCGAGATAAAGTTTTAATAAACACTTAGAAGTTGTAAAAAGAGTATTCGCAAACAAGTGCCATTATAAAAGTTTTAAACGACGTCGACCGCTTTGTGACCATAGGTTTTATTTCTACGCAGCTCCAAAGTAGCTATTAGACTAGTTGTTATTTTATTTATCTTTTTAATAGCTTTGCACAGGACTTGATTAAAAAACTAGATCATCATCAACAGCCTTTACCAGTCCACTGCTGGACCTAAGCCTCTCCTTAGAAAGGAGGTTTTGGCCTACTATACCACGTTGACCAGACGGGTTGGTATAGGGTTTCTTTCAAGATTTTCTTTTCTTTGGAATTCTGTTGTCCTGAAGCCCTTACCCCAGCTCAATTGCCGTATCAATTTTCCTTGCTTCAATTTACCTCCTTCCTTCATACCGTTTAAAAACGGACATATTTTTAAGGAGCCAAGCGAAAGCTCTTTGAAATGTTACACACGCGAAGACGTCAAATGAAATTGAAGGAAAAATGAGAAAATGCTGATGATTCACAACTGTCAAAACTTGTTCACTTTTCTTCTTTTGTTAATAATTTGATACAATATTCTATTAAAACTTTTGTAATAGATCCTTAATTTAGTAGAAAACAAAGGTAAACAAATTATATATTGTGTATTAAAAACAAACCTTGTCTCAGTACTCACCTAAACAGACCGGTCAAATAACAATCAGTTTACACAATATTTAAATCAAATTTATTTATTTGATTCCCGCTGTTGGCTGCTTCTATTCAAGGTCGAACGATAAATGAAGAGATGTTTATAACCCCCTCATGTTATAAGCACTACACCATGGAAAGCGGTCGATTTTCTACTTGATCACGAACCAAATCATGTTAATGAATGATTGTACGCTAGTATCACTATGTGCAAGCCATAACGGAACTTCATATGACAAGGTTTGATTTATGTTGTTTACTAGCCATTGGCCGCGGATTCACTGGTCTTATTTTCGATTTTATCAATCAAATTTTCCAGGATAAAAGTCGTATGTGATATTTTAGACTATAGGTAATTTATCTTTATATCAAATTTCAAGAAGAATCGTTCAGCCGTTTTGATGTATATAATTGGGTAATTAATTACCTAAAATTACCTAAATATGGTTCTTAAGAACCATCCAAAGTTATTCATTTATAGTAGTAGTAAGATTGTTGTTTGGAAACTTTCTTTCCTTACTTTTATATTCCTATTTTATAGTAAATAGCTGTATCTTGTCACATTACGCTCTGGCACACTATGGTTGCATTTATGAGAAATGAGGACAAAAACTGATCCCAAAAATAAATGAAAACAATTCTTTGAAGTGGGTTGTATATTGTGTCAAAATTTGAACTCAATCGGAGCAGAGCTTTTGAGTTTTTAAAGCATACACAAACCAACTAACAATTTTTATATCCAAAAATACTTTTCACCTATAGAAAAGTAACAAAACAGTACTTAACCTAACCAATAACTAACCATTACTTGCCTTCTATTTTTGTAAGTGATTGGTCATAAAATGTTTTTATATCGCTTTCTAGAAGAGAAATCAATCAATCGCGTCTAGAAGAATGATACATGCATTTATCAGGGTTAAGATTTTTTAATATTATGTGGGAGAGATAGTTTAAAGATTTCTGGAGTTCATTCTTTTAAGTATTAAATTAGTCTAGACTCTAACACAAAATCGATCAGGGCATATAATTATAAGATTTATATAATGCAGAATTATAAAATACATACAAATATCGATGGAAGTAGCCAGCACGAGCATTTGAGTAGTAGAGAGATGAGTAGAAAGACACGGACAATTGGTTTTAGTTCAGACCGTTATCCCTACTTTGAAATAATAATAATAATAGTATTCTACCACATTCACACAACGCCATCTAGTCCCAAACTAAGCAGAGCTTGTACTACGGGTACTAGATAACTGATATAAATACATATATACTTTTTTTGTCTATCTATCTTCAATCTCGAAGTAGTTGCGTAGTCTCAATAAACCTTTGGTTACATAATATATTTTATCACACAATCTGTTTAAGCACCGAATATATCATTTTCATTTTACCATTACCACTTTCTCTACAATTTAGCTTTTGGCGTGTTCCATACTTGATACTATGCTATATTAATATTATAATGCTGAAGAGTTTGTTTGTTTTATTCAACTCGCTAATCTCAGGAACTACTAGTTCGTATTGAAAAACTATTTAAGTGTTGGATAGTCCATTTATCGAGGAAGAATAAAGCTTATATAAAGGGGATTCCTTTGGAGAGACGCATACAGAATTGAACGGTGAGCTAGTATGACATATATTAATATATATAATATAATAAATATAGTTAATCAAGTATCTAGTTACTATAGTGGAGTAAAAATAAGTCAGTATGGGCAACAATATTTTGTGTCAATATCCATCATTTTTGAGGGAGTAGTATAATTTGTATAGGACCTGCAAGCTTTACAATTTCTACATACAACTACAAGTTCTTCAACTATTCAAATAATAGAGTTATGCAAAACTTTTGCATTAACAATTACTATATAATTTGTTCGGGCATTTAGGAAGACACCGTTGAACAAATAAAATCAAGTTTTTTTTTAAATAAATATACGCAGGATCATCTTTAATGTGTATTGTGTTCCCGAAACCTTATGAATGAGTCCGGTACCGGTTGAGAGTAAGAATCTAAAATCAACAACCAATCTGTGGAATAGGTTATCGTCTGCGGTATTTCCGGATCGACACGACCTTCAAACCTTCAAGAAAAGAGCGTACTCCTTCCTAAAAGGCCGGCAACGCGTTTGTGACTCCTGAGTTACAGACTTTCATTTAAGGCAATAGTCACTTTCCATCAGGTGACCCGCCTGCTCGTCTGCCCCCTCTAACAGAAAAAAAACGTACTAACGCAGAATTACTATTTTTGTGTTCTTCTTATGAATTCTTCCTGTATGAGTACTTTTATATGTCCCGTTTTTCAGATTATACGTCTGAATCGAGACTTAAATCAAACTTAAGTGTTCAAGAAAATATCATCCTCTTACTACTCAGCTAGTAGTTCAATCAACCCCACTAATTCTGAGGAGAGAGCCCTCATAAGCGGCAAGGAACTTCTATCTCCTGAGTTGCAGATGTTCAAAGGCACCACTTACTCCTGACCCCTCGGCTTATTATTAGACAAAGTCATTGTTACTTATCTAAATATAATTTATCAATAAATTATCATAGCTTTCAAAACATTAAAAGATCACTACTCGAGTTCATAACTATTAATTATTTGCTATTCCTGTCCAGCGAGCTTTTGATCAAGTTTATAACAGCTGCCAGTGTTTAAACAAGTCATCGATTTAAAAAGTTTACGAGGCGTACGGGCGTAAAGGCCTTTGACAGAAAGGGCAATACGAAAATTGTTTTTCTTTTTTTTAAAGGGAATGGTAATCAAATTTAATCTAGAGAAGGAAATAGAACAATAATTGGTGGGCCTAACCTCACTTAATCGGTGAAAAGTAACAAAATAATTACTAAAGACTGATTTAATTCGA